GTTGAGCACCTGTCCCAAAGCGAGGAGGAAAGCACCTTTCATTACATTACCCGAGGGCACGACAGGCTCTGGGCTGTGTAGAGTTACAACAGATCCTATTCAGGCGTGCTAGCTAAGATGTCACGGTTCCCTCCGCTCACACTGCTAAGGGCTTCATGTTAAACGATTTTTTAAAGAATCTCCTCACATCTACCAGCCTTCACATCTCTCCTGCTTTACACAGCACCTACTATAAGTCAGTCACTGTGCTAAAGACTTTAAATACAGCATGGTCTCTGATTCCTCTAGCAACACTGCAATGCTCAAAAGGCGAAGTAATGTACCCAAGGTCATGTAAGTTTAAGTGGTGGAAACAGGACTCAAAGCCAAGCCCATTGGACTCCAGAGCCCTTCGTGCTGATCACCCTATGATCTGGTGGGCAGTGCCCAGACTATCATAGGCTTGGTGGGGGAGGGGGTTTTGGCTTCCCTGTAGTTTCCTTCTTTGGACCTGAGATCTTTTGGTTTGGTGTTGTTCTATCCTCAACCATCTTCTCTCCTTTCTTACTAGAAGGCACTCCCTAATCAATGTTACCCATTCCCAAGGTGGCCTTGGGCACCATTCATGGGCCACCAACTTGAAATATTCTCTCTCCAAGCAGGTGTCTCTCCTATACTCCAGAATAGGAAATGTGACCTGTTGCTCCCATCTCCGCTGGCAGGGAGTCTCCTAGGCTGCCTCAGTGCTGGACTTATAGACCTGACCTATATAAGCCTCTTTCCCCAGAGAGCTTGCTCCAATTCCAGTACCACTCAGTCAGCTTTCCTGCAGGGATACCAGTCTCCTCTCTCTTCCTCTTTCTGTTATTCATTGTCACTCTGTCCATACCACCTCCCATTACTCTGCTTCCTAGCTAGTCAAATCTGTCCTCTTCTGTCCATCTCTACCAGCAATGCAGTCCAGCGATATTGGTCTGGATTTCTCACAACTGGAGGCAGGGCATACTTCTGACATCTAGCTGCTAGACACCAAGGATGCAAATAAACATCCTACAGCATACAGAAAAGCCCTATAACAAAGAATTATCCAGGCCCAAATGATCCAGGTCTGAGGCTGGGAAACCCTGTTCTAATCTATGCCCCCATTGCACCTCTCCATCCTGACTTTACTTTCTGCAACATGTTCTCCACTCCACACCAGGAGAAGGATCTTTTCCAAACTCCCATGTAGTGCTTCTCCTCAAACTCACTGAGGGCTTCCCAGTTCCTTTATAGGAAAAATACTTGTTGACTTGGCCAGAATCTCTGGCCTGTTTCTTTAGCTAGCTTTGAGCTGCTCTTTTCAATCTTGAATTTCTTCCCTTGCCGGTTAGGTGACCCTTAGCCTACATTCCCTTCACACGCTCACTCAAATGTCATCGTAACAGAGGGGCCTCCTCTGACCTTCCTGACCCTCTCTCTCCTGTACTCTGCTTTAATTTTCTTGTAGCACATACGACCTTGGTAAGTATTGGTATATTTTACATTTGTTTCCTTGGTTGAATTCAGTCTTCTCCCACCAAAATTAAGACCAAACACAATGTGAATGTGTCTTTTGTTTAACAACTGCCAAAACATAGCAGGCACACAGAAATCATTTAGTGAATGGACAATAATTTTTTTTTTTTTTTGGTGGGGTGCAGTACTAGGGTTTGAACTCAGTGCTAGGTGAGTACTCTACCACTTGAGTCCCTAACCCTTTTTTGCTTTACTTATTATTATTTTTTTTAGATAAGGTCTCACACTTCTGCCCAGGGCAGGCCTCAGACCACGATCCTCCTACTTGCACAGAATCCTGCATGACTGGGATTACAACTATATGCCACTACGCCCAGCTTGTTTGTTGAAATGGAGTCTTGCTAAATTTTGCTGGGGCTGGCCTCCAACCACAATCCTCTGGATCTCTGCCTCATGAGTAGCTGGGATTAGAGGCATATGTCACTACAGTGGCCCCCTTTTTTCTCAATTCACATGTATTTATTATATGAAACATAAAAGAACTAAAGATTTTACTTTGCTGAACTATTTTGCTAACTCTAGACAATCACATGAATTCAATAGAAAACTAACCTAAAAGTAACCAGATGGCTGAATCTCCCCAGTCACCTATTTATGGCTGCATAGTCCCTAACATCTGAACAACGCATATCAGAGCTGGCAGGAACCAACCAACCACCTCTTCACACAAGATGCAGCATTCACACTCAACCAGAAATCAGGAGGCAGTGGGACTAATTCTTTATTTGCTTGTGGGTTTTACTATTACAACTTGGCTTGACCAGAAAATCCAGGGATATGGCTGGGATGGCCATAGGGTCATCTATGAGGAACATTACTTTCTAAGCAATGGAGTCATCTCACATATCTTCCTGCTTTTGCAAAGAGAGAGACAGCCTCTTCAGATGCTAAAACACCAGGATCCTCAGAAGTTTTGATTGCGGCAAGTATATGCCCAGTGAACATAACTAAAAGAGACTTTATACTAATAATTAATAACAAATGATGATGATTGTAATGGTAATAGCAGCTAAAATTTATTGATTGCTTCCAGTACATCAGACATAGTCTCATTCAACCTTCACCATACCTTAATTAGGAGAATTTATTTTCCCTCCTTTGTAGATAAGCAAGCTCAGATTTAGTGGAGATGGTTAACTCCACAGTTATATAGCTGGTTGGCCAAAATGTAACTGAAATAACTTTGTTTTATACTAAAGCTCATGTTCTTTTAACATGAAAGTTAGGCTGAGGGTGTAACTCAAGTGATAGAGCTCTTGCCTAGCAAGCACAAAGCCACGAGCTCAAACCTGAGTACTGCCAAAAAAAAAAAAAAAAAGAAAGTTAGAATCATAAATCCCTTCAAAAGACTTATAAGCTAATTTCATATCTATAAAGATGTAAAGAGTAAGATTATAAACAAAGATGGTCAAAAAGACCACGTGATAGATAAATATTCAATAATAAAATATCAAAAGACTGAAATAAAAAGTGTCTTAGAAGTTAGAAAAAAAGCAATATGAGTCCAAGTTGGGATAGGCAGCATGGACTTCATGAAGGAGGTGACATCCAAGTTGGGTAAAGTTGGAAAGGTGGAGAGAATCATTATGATTTGTCCAAAAGGGAAGAACAGCATAAAGAGCCATGGCAGGACTGACAGATGGCTCAAGTGGTCAATCGCCTGGCTAGCAAGCATGAGGCCCTGAGTTTAAGCCCCAGTACTGCCAAAAAAAAAAAAAAAAAAAAAAAGTCAGGGTGGTTATGCCCAGAAAAAGGTTTGACATCCATTAAGCTGGGGATGTGTTAAGTTAGACAAAAACTTTAAAAAAAATTTTTTGGTGGTACTGGGATTTGAACTCGGGCTTCCTGCTTGCTAGGTAGGCTCTCTCCTTCTTGAGTCACACCTCCAGGCTATTTTGCTCTGGTTATTTTGGAAATAGAGTCTTTCTTTTTGTTCAGGCTGGCCTAAACCAAGATCCTCTTATTTTATGCTTCCTGCTGTCATTGTGATGACAGGCACACACCACCATGCCCAGTTTTTCTCCCATTGATATGGGGTATCCCAGATGCATTTTCGTGGACTGGCCTGAAACCTTGATCCTCCTGATCTCAGCCTCCTAAATTGCTAGGATTATGGCGTGAACCACCAGCACCCAGCAGAGTTATACAAAATTCAGCAGACTTTAGTAGGATTAATGCAGTGTGAATTTCAATGAGAGTAAAGATATTGTCTGTGAGTTTATTTCACCAATTTATTTGACTGGTGGACCTTTCCCCCTCTTTTTTTTTTTTTTTTTACTGTAAACCTAACATCTATTTATTTACTTACTTATGTACTTCTGGTGGTACTGAGGTTTGAACTCAGGGTTTCACACTTTCTAGATAGGCACTCTACAACTTCACCCATACCTCCAGCCCTTTTTGCTCCAGTTATTTTGGAGATAATGTTTCTCATTTTGCCCCTGCCAGCCCACCATGAACATCCTAATTTTGGGATTCCATCTGTTGCTGGGATGACAAGTGTGCATCACCAAGCCCAGCTATTAATTGAGATGGTGTCTCATAAACCTTTTTGCTTACAGTAGCCTCTAGCTACAACCCTCGGGGTCTTACCCTCCCAAGTAGCTAAGATTACAGGTGAGTACCACCAGTGCCCCACTTCTAACATCTCTTTATAATGGCATTCTGTGAAACTCATGGGGAAAGCTGACAGCGACCATTCCATGGAGGGTTGAGGTTGCTGTGCTAAGGAGGTCAGGAATTGTAGTCCTGTAGACCTGGTGGGGGCTTCTGAATCAATTGATTGAGAAGATTTTTCTGGCAGGAACAGCAGGCTTCTGATTCATAACAATAAGAGTTATTGATTAAAGATCGTGAGGGTCCAAACTCAACTGAAATTGATTGAAAACTTACAACAGCCAATCTGACTGATTAGATCATTTCATTTTCCTACTTAAAAGACTTGATGGGTTCTTTTTTATTTTTTGGCAATACTGGGGTTTGAACTCAGCACTTGGCAGCTCTTCTAGCATTTGAGTTATTCCTCCAGCCCTTTTTGTTTTGGTTATTTTGGAAATAGGGTCTCATTTTTTTTCCCAAGCAAAAGCTACTGCACCCAACCTTTTTCCATTGACATGGGGGTCTCACAAACTTTTTTGCCCAGTCTGGGCTCAAACTATGATCCTCACGATCTCAGCCCTCGCCAAGTAGCTAGGATTACAAGCATGAGCCATTGGCATCCAATTTCCTCTTACTATTAAAATAAAGTATTTCCTCCAGTATACAGACAGCTGGCCTGTCCACGTCTCCACAATACTTCCTGCCATCTCCCCTTTGTCGCATTCTCAAGGCTGTAGCCAAAGTGACACTTCCCTCTCCTGGGATGCTTCATTGTTCTGTAAGCCTCATGAGGTCAGGGGTCTGGTGGTTTTGCTCCTCCCATAGTAATAAGTATTTTTTTGAGTGAATGGGTAGATGGATGGTTACACCACTGGGACAGATGGGATGTGTTTGGAGGTGCTTTCTAGTATATTCCATCAATATCCAGTCCAATCTGCCAAATCAAGATGGATACATTATAAAATAAAATCTTTCTGTTTGACTTTATATGTCACATGGATTTGCCGTGGTTCAGAGCCTCCAGCTGGCTGGGTCCCATTTGTCATCCTTCTAAAAGGATGAACCCCAAAGGTTGCTTTCTCCTTTTTCCTTTTCAGAGAGTTTCCCATGGGAGGCATCATCTCCTGTCTTTCTCAAGTACCCCTTCAGCATCTTCAGTTATCTTCCTGCCTCCAAACACCTGTTGAACAATGAAACAGAGTTACTTCCATTTCTATTTCTAAATTCCTAACTCTACTCAGGCAAAATTTCAAGTTGAATTAGATGAGGAGTAAGATCAAATGCCTGTTCTCACTTCAGTATCTGGATAATTTCTACACTATTACCTACACAGATAAGAAGTAAGCCATTGGCTTTCTACATTTGAAAAGAGTACTTGACATATTCAAAATCTTCCTATCTAGCCCAACAAATTTCTTTCTCACATCCCACAGCAGACTTCGATATCCGTACAGCTTAGCCACTCTGACTTCTAACAAGTTTCAAGATTTAACATAGTGTATCATTTTTACTACTGTTTTCCATTGTCCAAACTTCTTTTGTCGATTTATGGCATTGCTTGTGTGCTGTTCCATGGTGCAAACTAAGTAGCACTGTGACACTGATTTATATTTTAAGGTGGGATTGGGTTATTTTATGCCTTTAAGCACAAAATGTTTTGCTATGGTCAGTCTTTCTAGAACATATGTGAAGGGGAGATCCATGGACCTTCTGAGTGTCCTTCTGAAAGAAATTTCTCTCTCATTGTGCCAGGTAAGCCCAATGACATAAGGTCAGGCTGGGGAATGAGTCCTTCTTTGTTTCCGTGGTGAACAGTCCCAGACACATCCTGCCACTGTAGGTTAGTGCTAAGGCCAAGCGTGGGAAAAGATCGTCACCTAACACCTCCAGCCATCTGAGCTGTTCCTAAGCTTGGCTTATAGTGCTTGTCTTGGAGACTGTCTAAAACGAATGACCTATTTGGCTGCCCTCTGCTTTCCCTCTGTCTCTCAGAAACACACAGAAAGATCTCTGAGACTCCTAGAAGTAAATGAAAAGTCCTCCTCTTTTCTGTGTGCCACCCACCAACACTTAGTCAATACCAGCACATACCTTTGGACATTATCCAGATAAGTTATATTTGATCTTGTGACCTAAGGGTGAATTGAAGGTTAGACTTAATTACACATGTGAGCCAAGAGTAAGTCAGTAACAAGCCTTCCTATTTCACTCTGAAATACCATCAAACCCCTTAAGGGAGTCCACTGATTATACTATGGAGGTTTGTATGAACCAACGAGGGTAAATAATTAGACTCTATTTTTAATTAATATTTCAGTGCCTTCTAGCACGATGATATTTAAGATTATGACGGGATTTGAGGTAAGTGGAGAAGTAGTCTCATCCATGATGAAGCTGGGGAGAACAAAGAGCATGTTGTCAGGCTGACAAAAACACCCTACTATTTGGGCAATCTTATATCTAAAGTTCCCAGTATGTTTGAGGGAAGTTTTCAATTTAACACATGCTCTGTTTGCCAAGGTGAATATTGGTCTCTATTACCAAAAATAAATCCAGAGAAAATGAAAGGCCGGCACTGTGTATTTCTAGTTGGCATAATTGCAAAACTTTTTTTTAATCATTTGAACTTTATGAGAGTAATAACAATTAACACAGATTCCAGAATGGGCACATTTTCAATTTTTGTTCCATAAAACTACATGAGAATATAGGCTCATGAAAAACAGGCAGTTCAATTAAGCATGAACTTTCATAATATTTAACACATTTTACCATTTTTAATTGATGGAAGTGTTACATATTTTGCCAACCCAAGAGTTTTTCACACTTCTTTAATTCAACCCAGCTTGATTTTTGCAATTCAAATAGACAAATTATTATTTGGTATTAACTGGAAATCAAATAAAGTAATAGTAAAATTTATTAAATAGATTACAATGCATACATTATTTCCTAAAGAAATTTATTTTATACATTCAAAATATGGTAAATTTTATATTTAACTCTAACTAGCCTTCACAACTCCTGAATGACCAAGATACTAATAATCTACAAATAATAAATATTCTACAAATAGTATTTTACAAAAAAGGAACCCAAGCTTTAAAAAATTATGTCTCTGGCCACAGGTCACATACTAAGGGAAAGCGCAGAAACCTAACATAGTTCTCCGACCATTTGTAAGATCATGGGTAAAATTAAAGCAATAAGCAAACTGAGCAAGGGTACTATCTTTTTACCTTTCTTACATTTCTTTGGTTGGCTTTTTGTTTATTTGCTTGCTTCTCTTTTCCTTATGTACTCTTGCTGTACTAGGCACATATTAATACCTCAACGAATATAATTAATAGATCATTTGTACTCAGCTTTCTACTAGACACGGGTCTCTGCAACCTGCATTTTTATACATTTGTAGACAAACAACACTTGATATTAATTATGATGACTCCCAAGACACTGAAAGCTAATACAGTCACCTGAAGCATCACAGGAAAATAAAATTGTGTTCATATGTGCCCTGAGCTGCAGATTGCTATCTACAATTGTTGGCTGTGCATTGTCCAGCTCTGACCATATGTCTTACAGACAGCTCAATTAAAAGACATCCCGAATTAAATTAAGTTTCTAATCTACCCAACAATTCTCTTCACTGTCCCAGTTTACCAACTAGAAATTTGGGATCCACCTTAAATTTTTTTACTCATTCAGCCTCTTTATGGTTACAGAGTATCCATTCTACCTCCTAAATATCTCTCAATTCTATCTATCTTCACTACTTTAATACTGGCCATAGTTTTCTTTTGCCTGGAACCTATACTGGCCTAGTTATAGGTTGCCTTGGGCTTTGTCTCTCACCATTGGTATTCTTCCTTCAGATGGTCAAAATTACTTTCTGAAACAGAAATCACTCATGTTCTAAAGAATACTGACCACTGTCTTTGTCCTAAAGCAGCACTTTCCACCATGAGATCCATAGAACCCTCCACACACTGTGAAAAGAGAAAGATGAGTAGGGTTAGGGTAAACTCTTGGGAGTTTATTACACAGAGTAGCATATTAAAGGATCTGAGAAGTTCTGAAGGAAGTAACTCATGTAGCTGGCCTATCCCAGTGTTTCCCACATTTTCTTTGGCCTTTAAACTCTCTTCTTGATCAATGTTCACCTTCTTATACCAATCCCACCATGATTATGGCTATTTCCAATGCAAAAATACACTCTTGTTTTGTCAAGCTAAGCATTAAAATACTGTATTGTCCCAAACCGTTCAATCTGAACAACTAAAAATTTTACGACTTTACCCCCATGACAAACCTCGAGCCATTCCTCTGTGCTTATTCTGTTTCAATCACCTTTCTGGATTTTGCAGGGATTTCTTCCTAAGTTCACCTTCCTTATGCGATTATTAACCCTTTCATCTTTGTGTCTGGGAGCACCTACTTCAATACCCAGTATACATACTACAGTAGACACTTAATACATATTGATAGGAGGTATGTTTTACTGTATTCTAATTAAATGCCTTACAAATAGTAGGTGCCAATGCATTTTTATATAAAATTTCCCCAGAGAGATAGAAGAGGCTTTAAAAAAGAATGCAATCTAGTCCATCACTTAGCTGAAAGTGATTCCCAAGGGAAGACTAAATGAGTCCATTTTTGTGACTAAAATGAAATACCTGAAGCAGACTACTTTATTAAGAAAAGAAGTTTATTTGGGCTCTTGGATCTACAGGTGCAAGGTCTAGGGACTCATCTAATGATAGTATTCTTGCTGGCAGTGTCCTAAGGTGACCCAGAGCATCACATGGCCAGGGTGAGGTGGTGCCTATGTACATGTGTCTCTGGTCTCTCATGTAAAGCCAACAGGACTGAATCATAAGGGCTCCATCCCAATAACTGTGCTCCTAATTGCTTTTCAAAAGCCCTACCTCTAAACTTTGCTTTCTGCCCACTCAATTCCTCGAAATGGGAGATTAAATGCTAACTCATGATACTTTGGGGGAATGCTCAAGACAGATGCAAACCATAACAGAGATGGATATGTGTCCCTGCTGTATTTCAGGTAGTAAGGTCCATTTGTCTGAGTCTAGTTGCTTGGTTATTCCACCCCATTCCCGCTTCGTGTATGTGTATCTCTCTAGGAGTAGATGATCTTTCCCAAAAGAAAAGAGAGAGATTGGGAGGGGGGAGTAGGTGGAGAAAGAGTGTGGGAGGGTGAATATGTAAATGGAAAAATGAGACCTGTTGAAACTATTGGAATGGGGGGAAAGGAGATAAAGCAGAATGATGGAAGGGGTAATTCAAGAATGATATATTTAATGTATTTTAAGAATTTCTGTAAATGCCATAATGTACCTCCACCAAGCACAACAATTTAAAAAAAAAGAAAACACTTAGAAAAGAGAGATGTCTTAGCCACAGTTATCAATGGAGGCACTCATGTGCACCAGGCTTGGTTATGGACACCACTGAATGGTCATCCTTATGCAGAAATTTCTGGTAGCTCCAAGCGATACAGGAACTTCTTACTGCAAATTGGAGGAACAGGGTCACTGAGATGTAGTCCTTAACTGTCCATGGCTCTAATAAGATCATTTTCAAAGAGTTGCATGAAATAATTTTTAACAAGGAGGCAGATCTGTGAATGACTGCCACTTTCCAGCTGGGTGAGCTATTTCACCTCCTCACACCTTCTTTTCCTTGTCTGTAAGAGGTGGATAAATGAGGCAACATTTGAAAACATTTAACACCTTGCATGGCACATTGCAGACAATCAATAAAAGGGTGTTGCATTTGGTTGTGCTTTGTCCTGAATTTCACAGTTTATAAGAATAAAAAGAGGAACCACTTAGATAAAATTGATAACCAACTGCAAAATCTGTTACTGAGTATATTTTGGACAGATCTATTTGTCTCTGCCATTCTCTGTATGTGTGTTAAATTAAAATTAAAACAAGTGCTTTAAAACAGCTTCTTCGTTCAGCAGAACATTAAGAATTATGCATTGGAGCCATATATTTTAATGCTGACTGGCTCCATTTGGTGCCCAAAGTTTAACAATTTGAGAGCATGCTGTCACGAAGGAAAGGTCGATGTGTAATACACATGCACCAGTGGTACGGCTCTGACAGGAGATTCAGAGATCCTGGTGGGCATCGAGCAAAAAACACGTGGTTCTTTTATAAGGTTGGGACCTTTCAAATTATTCTCCTATTATTCTGTAAGGGAGTAAAATGCATGAGGCAATTTAAACAGGCCAGGGGAAGAAAAGTCCCCAGCTCCCACTGGGGACTGGACCAAGTCATACAACCAAGAAGTGTTGGGCCACCATGGGGGAAGGACAGAGCTCTTATGAACACAATTCCCCCTAGCATTGAAGTTAATGAGGCCATTGGTTCCTTATTTTCCTTTCCAGAGATTATCATGATCAATTTGCATGATGATTATGGAAAAGATTAAAACACCATTCCCAAAGATGAAGTTAATAGAGGCCTTTGAGACTTAGAACTTCCTGAAGGAGAAAGGTATCTTTTTCTCCAAAAAGGGGAACAGCATTTGAAATATTCGTTTGGTTCAACAAAGCAATCGTGTATTCTTGCCCCCCTCCCCAACATTTTTTTTGTAGTGTCTTACATCTCAATTAAGCCCTTGAGAACCTCTCCCCCTTAAGAAAAGGTAATGAATTTAATACAAATTCAAGTGGGAAATAAAAGAACAAGAGGGATGAAAAAAGCCAAAATGAAGCAAAAAAAAAGGACGTTATAAAATACACTTATGGTTGAAAAACCATGTGCTCCTCCTAACCAGTGATAGATTTTACATTTTCTAGATTGAAACTAAGAATTATTTCTGCTTTGACACTTCATGTCAGCCTAGAAGATGCCACAGTGAGTCACTTCCCTTTTTATGAAGAACAAATCTAGACCTTAGGGTCTTCCTAAGGCAGCTGCAACTCCTCTTTTAGTTCACACTTTGCTCCCTTTGCCTTTCTTTTACACAAAATCAGGTCCTGGTTTCCTCCCATCTAAAGGTGTTCTCACTCTCTGCTCCATAGGAAAAAGCATTCAATCACTCCAGCAGTGGGTTTGGAGGATAAAACTTCTGAGAACAGCTTACATCCACCTCCCTTCTTCATAGGAATAGGAGTAAAAAACCCAGTACGTGAAGAAGAGAAAACCTCAAGCAGATAAGTTCTACATTCTACACATCTTTCTTCATAATTCTACCTGAAAACAAAATCCAAAGCAAAAAAACTGTATAGCTCTTCCATTTATGAAGGATTTTAGTCAAAGGAAAAATCGCTCCACACGTTAATATCCTATGTTATAAGTAACTTTCCCTGTGAGTTTTTGTTTGTTTGTTTGTTTCTCTCTTTCACCTCCCTTATATAATTTTGGAGGAATCCCACATAGTATAGAAACTTGAATGTCCTATAATCATTTGGTCTGTCTCAGTTTCTCCAGACCACAGTTCAAGGGTTATCTGGTCACACACACTGCCCCTAATCCAGCACATCTAGAAAGACTCAAATGCTTTCATCTTTTTTTTGAAATTGACTCAAAATAAGAAACATTTTAGAAGCCAAAAAATATACTTTTTGTAAAAAGAATATTTTTTACATTTTATTCATAACTCATCCACTGCCTTTCCAATGACTGAAATAATCCCTTTGAAAATACAATGTCATCTTAAACAAACAAATACACCATTTTTTAAAAGTGTAGAACAGGAAGTTAAAACAGGTCCTGTCTGAGAGTTTGGTACCAGTGGGAAGGGGGAGGATATAAGGAAAGGGTGAAGGAGGCTGAGGGTAGTAGAAATATTATATGCTTATATATGAAAGTGGAAAAATGAGACAGGTTGAAGATCTTTCAGGAACGGGGCGAGGATTAAAGGAGAATGATGGACAGGGTGAGTTCAACTATGGCATATATTTAAGAACTTTTGTAAATGTCACAATGTACCCCCTCCCCAGTACAACAATAACATAATAAAAAAGAAAATACAATGCCATCATTTGATCACAACAGTCACTGAAATACATGGAGTTTGAAAACATTAACTGTGGATATGCATTGGGTTGTTACATACTAACCCAACAAGGCTACCACAAACCAATGTGTATGTCATGCCAAGTGCCCAGGTACCCAGCTGAAGGGGCAGCTGCATGTTATTGTGTTCTGCTGTCACACAGCATAACTACCTGGCTGCACCTACCTGCACAAAAGGCAGCCTTTTCACAATCTGCTTGTTCCAAGGTTAGCCATAGTTGACAAAGAATTCTTAGGGCATTGGGATGCAGAGAACTTTTAATGTGTAGAAGATCATGTCAGCGAAAGCCAATATACATGACCTGAAAAACACCATGTTTGAGATAAAAGGAAAACAGTTGGGTGGTCATCACTTCCCCTTTTATATATAGTTAACTTTAGGTGGTCTGTTTCTAAATAGGAAAATTCTTTTCTTTGTCATCTCCACTTCTGCCTCCTTAATTTCAGTCATAACAGTTGTGTGGTGCTTGTCAACAGGGATACATTCTGAGTACTGCACTATTAGGTAATTTTGTGGTTGTGTGACCATCATGCAAACCTAGAGGGGCTAAGACACTCATGCCATGTGGCCTCTTGATGCAATCAGGACACATGGTGACCACAGGGTGTCTAAGACTCCAGCCACCTAATTTGATATACTGTTTATAGTGAACTTTTTTTTTAACCGCATGAATATACTCTAAAATAATAAAAAAAAGTATAGCAAAAGCTAGGTGTGGTGGTGCATGCCTCTAATCTAGTCACTCAGGAGGCTGAGGCAGGAGAATAGAGAGTGTGAAGCCAACCTGGGTGAGGTTCTGTCTCAAAACCAAAACAAAACACAGTAGTAACACAGTCATTATTAAGTATCAGTACTGTACATAATCACATGTGTTATAGTTTTATGTGACTGGCAGAGCAGTAGGTTAGTTTACAGCAGTGTCACCACATACATGTGAATAATGCATTGCACCATGCATTGCTACGCCTTCCATACCATTAGGTCATAGGAATTTTCCGGCTCCATCGTTAACTCACGGGACCATTGTTGTATGTATATGTGGTCAATCATCTACAAAATGTCATTTTAGGCATATGGTTCATGGCTAT